TATTTTCCAAGGTGCCTGAAGGCAGGACAAGAAACAACGGATGGAAACTAAGCAAGGAGAGAAGCAACCTAGAACTAAGGAGAAACTTCCTGATAGTCAGAACAAGTAACCAGTGGAACAACCTGCCTCCAGAAGCGGTGAATGCTCCAACACTGGAAGTTTTTAAGAAGAGATTGGACAGCCATTTGTCTGAAATGTTATAGGGTTTCCTGCCTGAGCAGGGAGTTGGACTAGATGACCTCCAAAGTCCCTTCCAACTTTATTATTATTATCATTATTGTTGTTGTTGTTGTTAAGAATACATACATGGTTAGAGAAAATGATGAAAAAACATACAGATTTCAAGCCGGAATTATTTTTGTTAGGCACAATTGTAGGAAATTACGAGAAAGGGTGCCTATATCTAATTTTACATATATTAACTGCAGCAAGAATTGTATTCGCTCAACATTGGAAAAAATGAAGGTTTACCAACGGAGGAAGAGTTAATTAAAAAAATCTAACGAGTGGGCAGAAATGGATCGATTGACATTGAAAATGAAAGAGAGAGAAGACTCAGTTTATTTTAGAACATGGGATACCTTTTATCATTGGCCAGAAAAATGAGGTAGAGAGAAAGGAACTTAATATGTATTAGTAAGTTAAATGCTGGAACCCAGACAATATGTTGCTGATAGAATATGAAGCACTTGTGATTATAAAAATTAATAAAAATATGTATAAAAGGAGTCCAGATTTACCCTGCAACAGGAGCACATGGCTGAGCACCAGTTAGGGCAGGGGTGGGCAACCTTGGCTCTTTTATGACTCGTGGACTTCAACTCCCAGAATTCCTGAGCCAGCATAGCTCAGCTTGGAAACCTCTCCATTTCCCCTCAGCATGGCTGGCTCAGGAATTCTGGGAGTTGAAGTCCACGAGTCATAAAAGAGCCAAGGTTGCCTACCCCTGATTAGGGGAAGGCATTGTGCACAGTAGACCAACACTTCAGGTTCTCATGTAGCTTATTTGCTTCTTTACATCCCACCTTTTATTATTTTTTATAAATAACTCAAGGCAGAACATATATCTAGTACTCTTCCTTCCTATTTACCTCACAAGAATTCTGTGAAGTGGGTTGGGCTGAGAGGGAGGAGCCAGCTCACAGTCAACCAGCCAGCTTTCCACGCCTAAAGCGGCACTAGAATTCATAGCCTGCAGGTGATTGGCTGAAAGTCAATCAGCTGGCTTTCACGCTTAAGGTGGGACTAGAGCTCACAGCCTCCTGATGATTGGCCCAAGTCACCCAACCGGCTCCCACGCCTAAGGTGGGACTAGAACTCGCCTCTTAGCAATTGGCCCCAAATCACCCAGCCGACTTTCATGCTTAAGGCAGGACTAGAATTAACAGCCTGCAGGTGATTGGCTCAAAGTTACCCAACTGCCTTTCATGCCTAAGACGGGACTCGAATTCATAACCTCCCGGTGATTGGTCCAAAGCTGGTTGTTTGATTTTGTTGTTTGTTCTCCAAGAGGTAGCTTACCAGCTTCGGGCTAGGCTGTTCCAGATCAATCGATGCTCCTTCAGGATCAGTCTCTCGATCACTCCCTGCAGCTCCTTGTGGTATGGGCTGGTGAGAGCTGCTTCAACTGGTTGGACCACTCCTTAAATGACAGGCAGGCAAAACGGTTACAATCAGCTTGAGAGCGGTCTGCCAAAAAAGCCAACACAGTGCTAGGCTGCATTAACAGAGGGATAGAATCAAGATCACGTGAAGTATTAATACCACTTTACAAGGCCTTGGTAAGGCCGCACTTGGAAAACTGCATCCAGTTTTGGTCACCACGATGTAAAAAAGATGCTGAGACTCTAGAAAGAGTACAGAGAAGAGCAACAAAGATGATTAGGGGACTGGAGGCCAAAACATATGAAGAACGGTTGCTGGAATTGGGTAAGTCTAGTTTAACAAAGAGAAGGACGAGGGGGGACAGGATAGCAGTGTTCCAATATCTCAGGGGCTGCCCCAAAGAAGAGGGAGTCAGGCTATTCTCCAAGGCGCCTGAAGGCAGGACAAGAAGCAACGGATGGAAACTAATCAAGGAGAGAAGCAACCTAGAACTAAGGAGAAACTTCCTGACAGTGAGAACAATTAGCCAGTGGAACAACCTGCCTCCAGAAGCGGCGAATGCTCCAACACTGGAAGTTTTTAAGAAGAGACTGGACAGCCATTTGTCCGAAATGGTATAGGGTTTCCTGCCTGAGCAGGGGGTTGGACTAGATGACCTCAAAGGTCCCTTCCAACTTTATTATTATTATTATTATTATTATTATTATTATTATTATTATTATTAATTATTATTATTATTATTATTATTATTATTATTATTATTATTATTATTATTATTTCCAGAAAACCCTTAAGTGGCTTGAAATGGCCCCAGCACCCTTCCAGTGAGCTCAGAACCACTCACTGGAAAAAGATACGTGCTTGGTTATAAAAAAATATTAGGTGAACATGTTGATTTTAAACCTGAACTTTTTTTCACTAGGTATAATGCCTGAAAAGATTAACAAGCAAAGTCTGTATTTGATTTCACACGTCACTACAGCGGCGAGAATAATCTTTGCTCAATATTGGAAGAATAAAGGACTACCACCAGAGGAAGAAATAATTAGAAAAATATTGGAATGCGGAGAGATGGCTAGATTGATTATGAGACTGAAAGATGAAGAAGATACAGATTACTATCAAATTTGGGACTTATTTTATTGTTGGCTAGAGGAAAGAATGAAGGATTAGGAATTGAATCTGTATTAGCATTGTTGAACCCAGACAGCTTGTTGGTTGAAAAATTAACATGTGTATGTAAAAGAAAATCAATAAAATAAAAAATAAAAAGAACCACTCATTTCGATCCCCAAATGTTTGCATCATTCTAGAACAGGGCGTTTCAACCAGTGGTACGGGTACCACCTGTGGTACATTGGCACCTGGCAGGTGGTACGCGACCATCCTAGAAAAGTGGTAGTAAGTGAGGGGAATGAGCTGAACCGGTGGCAGCACCGCACAAGCCTGAGCGAGAGACGGCTGGAGCTGCAGGGCTCTCAGGGCTCAGCGGAAGCACCAGGATCAGTGCTGCTTTCCAGCTGATCGGCACTTCTTTGGGGCTGTCAGGGCTCAGTGGAAGCGCCAGGATCAGCGCCAGGCTCCAGCTGGAGCTCGGTGCTGATCCTGGTGCTTCTGCTGAGCCCAGAAGAAGCGCCGATCAGCTGGAATGTTGCAGCATCTTCAGGGTCTTGTGATTAACATTCAGATGCTTGGCAACTGACTCATATTTATGACGGTCACAGTGTCCCAGGGTCATGTGAAGTGACCAAAACCTGCTGCAACCACCCAGCAGACGGGGGGAATAAAAACCAAACACCCCTCACCCCACCCCCGCTGCCAATCCTCAACAGAAATGCTCACAACAATGAAAACCTCGGACAGGAGGAAGAGCGCCGCCGGGTGGGTAGGCAGGTGTCTTGCTCGGCACTCTTTTCAGTGCCATTGTAACTTCGAACAGTCACTAAGCGAACTGTTGTAAGTCGAGGACTACCAGTACTTCATCACTTTTTTCCTTTTGGGGGGGTCATCAGGTTTTTGACACCTTGCTAGGCGACTGGTGGTACTCGGATATTGCCATATCCTAAAAGTGGTACAATGGGTGAAAAGGTTGAAAAGCCCTGTTCTAGAAAGCGGGTGGGTTTCTTGAGAACAGGTGGAAAAGAAGAATGGCTGTTCCTGATTTTTTTTCCACCTTCAGGAAACCACAACAAGGGAAACAGGACGGCCACGGTCGTGTAATCAACCACGACAAATGAAGTGAAAGGACTTTGGCTAAAAGCATTTTGAACAGGTTCTACAGTTATGGTTTAATGCCGAAAAAGGTTGTTAATATGGGATTGGGAAGAGAAACGAAAGTTTAAAGGTAGGAGAGCACCATTCAATTCCCAGTCACTGTCCCTCTTTTTGAAATAGCTAGTTCTCTCTCTGGAGATCAGATCAGTCCGTGCTTCGGGGTTTGGAAAGGGATCAAGCTGTTTCAGTAAATCTTTGGGGACTGGATGTATTTCACTGTGATCCCTCCTGCAAAGGAAGTATTTATAGAGATTTAATTGTTTAGCTGTGGCCAGAGGATTTAAGATTATGAATGTCTATGTATTGTTATAACCTTAACAGTTGGGTCTGTATGTTGCTTGGAATCCGTTAAGACAGAAGTGGCATCTACAAATAGCTCTAAGCAAGCAAATTATTGTAGTATTTTATTGTGGTATTAAGAGCTCTGGATATGATATATATATATATATATATATATATGTTTTCTGAGGTTTTCGCGGGTATTTGTATATATATGTTTTCTGAGGTTTTCGTGGGTATTTGTATATGATGCAACTTCATATATATATATATATATGATGCAACTTCATATATATATATATATATATATATATATATAATGCAACTTACAACCATAATTGAGCCCAAAATTTCCATGGCTAAGCAAGGCAGTCTTTAAGAGAGTTTTATTCCATTTTATGCCTTTTTTAGCTTATGCAGTTAAGTGACTGTCTTGAAGTGGAAGATAAGTAATCGTGCTCTTTAAATAAGTCCGGCGTCCCCCATTGACTTTGCTTGTTGGAAGCCAGCTGGGAAGATTACAGAGGGGGCTCACATGACCCTGGGACAGTGCAACAGTCATAAATCCATGCCAGTTGCCAACAGCTCGAATTGTAATCACGTGATCACAGGGATGCTGCAACGGTCTTATGAAAACTGGTCATAAGTCACTTTTTTTTTCAATGCTGTTGTAACTATACCAGGGGTAGGCAACCTTGGCTCTTTTATGACTCGTGGACTTCAACTCCCAGAATTCCTGAGCCAGCTCTGCTGGCTCAGGAATTCTGGGAGTTGAAGTCCACGAGTCATAAAAAAGCCAAGGTTGCCTACCCCTGAACTATACAAACGGTTGCAAGTTAAGGACTAACTATATAGCTTAAAAATGGTTTTTTTTTTGACAAAAGGCTCTGCCACACCAGATTTCAAACTATGGACTGAATATACGTGCTCAATCCCACCCCACACCGATAGGAAGAAAAATCCCAATTCTGTGTGATCAAGAACGTGGCATCCCACATTTGGGAACGTTCAAAAAGAAAAGGTAGATTTATGCATTTAGAGCAAAACATGCTAGACTTCCATCTATTAGTATCTGTAGGGGAAGGGTAATGTTTTCCCATACTGGGATATACAGGTAGTCCTCAACTTACAACCAGAATTGATTAGATTAGATAACCGTTGTTGTCATTTTTTTTACTGTGGGCACAACGGCGCAACACATTAAAAATGAAATTTAGTTGCTTGCTCTCAAAGTGTACACATACATAACACACATTTAAACATACTATATGCAACGTACGTATAGACCTACACCCTTACATACAAGTAACATACACACATATAAATATTGAGCCCCAAATTGATGTTGCTAAGTGAGACAGTTCAGTGAGTTTGGCCCCATTTTACGACCTAAGTGAATAACTGCAGTTGTTAAATGAGTAACATGGTTGTAAAGAGAACCTGGCTTCCCCCATTGAGTTGGCTTGTCAGAAGGTCCCAAAAGGGGAGCACATGACACACACACACACACACACACCAGGACACTGCAGCCATCATAAATATGAGTCAAGCATTCGAATTTTGTTCACCTGACCATGGGGATGCCGCAGCGGTCTTAAATGTGAAAAAACGGTCCTAAATCTCTTTTTTTCAGTGCTGTTGCTACTTTGAACGGTCACTAAATGAACTGTTGTAAACTGAGGACTTCCTGTACTCCGAAGCCAAAAATGAAACAGAGATAGAGAAGGCGGCTTGGAAAAAGCACCACCTGAGCCTCCCAGCTTCAGGGCAGATATATAGTAAGCTGATAACTTTCTTTTCAGACAATCACCTGTTTGAGATGGTATCGGATAGGTTCTCCTGCTTGAGCAGGGGGCTGGACTAGAAGACCTCCAAGGTCCCTTCCAGTTCTATTCTATTCTATTCTATTCCATTCCATATATTCTATTCTATTCCATTCCATTCCATATATTCTATTCTATTCCATTCCATATGTTCTATTCTATTCTATTCTATTCTATTCTATTCTAATTTTATTCCATTCCATATATTCTATTCTATTCTATTCTATTCTATTCTATTCTATTCTATTCTATTCTATTCTATTCTATTCTATTATTATTCTATTCTACTCTATTCTACTCTACTCTACTCTACTCTAAATGTTTCCCTGTCACCAAGTATGGAGCTCTGACTTGCAACAGACTACCGCAGGAGGGATCAGAGTGAAATACCTCCAGTCCCCAAAGATTTACTGAAAAAACCAGGTCTTGATCCCTTTTCCAATGGGCAGTATTTTCCTATTGTAAATTCTTGTTGATTCCTTGGTGGGCATCTAACATGGACAACTGGTGCCAAATTCACCATGATAGGTGGAAAAAGGGACTGAGAAATTGGTGAATGTCTATGGAGATTCTCCATCATCCAGATCCTGATTGTCTCAAGGGTGCTTTTTTCACGAGGCAATTGGACTTCCTTTGATTTTTCTTTGAAGACGTTTCGCTTCCCGTCCAAGAATCTTCTACAGCAAAAGGTCTTCAAAGAAAACAAAAAGCAAAAAAACAAGAAAGACCAGTTGCCTTTTGAAAAAGCACCTTTGGGACAATTGGAGTGCTGGTTTCCCTGTTCAAATCTTGGCACACCTTTATGCTGAATTCTTACCTTCAAGGACGACGTAGGGGAGGCAGTTACCACCTGCAGCAGACAGAAGGCCGGGAAGATCTGAACTCACCTGGAGCTTCGGAGCCCCCTGCAAGAATGTGGGGGGGGGGAGAGAAAAATGAAAATAGAAGAGGCAATGCCAGAACCAAGGTCCCTTGGAACCTCAAACATTTTGCTTATTCACGTATTTACCAAGGACACTTCCAAACCACTGCCTTACACATGTGCTATTGTACATCAGATGAAACACCCGTTTGTTCAGCAACTGGCAGAGTAATGGGCTAATGACTGGAACTGCACATTGCCTGAAGCTGTTTCATTTTGTGTGTTCTGAATTAAGACCACTCAAACAAAAGGGACGACTGAGAGTCACTTTAGTGAAGTGGTTAGGGTGCTGGCGTCGAAACCAGGAGATGGTGAATTCTAGACCTAATGTCATGGTTCGGACAGATGAAACTCTTCAAAGAACTTCGAGGCATGGTTTCCCTTAAAGCAGTGTTTCTCAACCTTGACAATTTTAAGGCATGTGGACTTCAACTCCCAGAATTCCACAGCCAGCATTACTGGCTGTGGAATTCTGGGAGTTGAAGTCCACATGCCTTAAAATTGTCAAGGTTGAGAAACACTGCCTTAAAGAATCTTTATTCGAGTAGCATAACATCGGCAGGTACATAGGCCAAGCCAAAATCTAAATTCTCCTCCCCTGAGCACATAGTATCAAAGCACCATTCCCCACCCTTATACAGTATTGTTATGTCTAACTAATGTCCCATGCTCATTCCTCTCCCCCAGTATCATCTAATTCTAACTCTAAGAGTAAAACATAAAAGTAAAGGAAAATGGCTGCATCTCCATATGTTGTCAAAGCAAGAACATCCGATGTTAGCAGCGTTGACACCTGCCTTAGGCATGAGATGGGTTACTTTGGGCCAATCACCAGGAGAGTGAGAGTTCTAGTCCCGCCTTAGGCAGCAAACCTGGCTAGGTGATACTGGGCCAATCACCAGGAGACTGTGAGTTCTGGTCCCTCATTAATAGGAAAACTGGTTAAGTGACTTTGAGCGAATTACCAGAAGACTGTGACATCCAGTCCCTCCCTTAGGCTTGAAAGTTGGCTAGTGATATTGGGCCAATCACCAGGAGACACTGTTCTAGTCCTGCCTTAGGCATGAAAGCCAGATTGATAAGTTTGGGCCAATCACCAGGAGGCTATGAGTCCTGATTTAGGCATGAAAGCTAGCTGGGTGACTTAAGATTAAGCTTAATCTTAACACATCTGAATCCAACTTATGGATGCAAGATAATGCCGATGTTACAAGAGGTTATACCTTTCATCAGAACAATAATTAAAGTGCTGTAAAATATAAATATTATACTATAAACCCCACTCTTGCTTTCTCAAGGGCAAGGGAAAGACAATTACACAATACCTGGATGGATTTTAATTGGAATTTGTACACTGTGTGGTTGCTTTAGTTGATGGCATGCTGCCTGGGGTCGCAATGCTTAAGCGCAATTCTTTAAATAAATCAATAAACACACATTAGAAATCTTCTAAAACAATGTTTTTCAACTTGGCAACCTTAAGATGTGTGGACTTCGACTTCCAGCATGCTGGCTAGGGAATTCTGGATACTGAAGTCCACAGATCTTAAGACTGCCAAGTTTGAAAAACACGGCTTTAACTAAAATAATAGATAAATGTCACACCTGGATTTTGGACACCACCTTGGCCTTCTTCCTGTGCAGGTAATAAAAGAGGCCAGAGAAGGCCAGGCTTGACCCCAAACAGATTGCTTCTCCTATCGTAAAGGGAAAAGTATCCATCGAAGCTGACCCTGGAAGAAAAAACAAAGAAAACCGGAACAAGAACTCAGCTACATCCAGGAATGGCAAGACACCTCACAGTCCATTCGTCCCTTGCCAAAACAAAACAAGAAAGCAAGATGGAGAACCAAAACATTAGCATACCAAGTTTTAGCAATAAGGTTGGTCCAGGCTGATCTTCCCATAGAGCTCAATATTTTGCCTGGAGTAATGTTATAATTGGTGTCTCTTCTTCGAATTAAAGACTTTTAAAGAAAGCATAAAAAGCTTGGCCTGTTGAAACAGCAAATCCGATATTATCAAGGGTCTAAAAACAACTCGGAATATTAAACAGATAAACCCTAGTACAGGCTGGGTTGCTCTCGACTTACAACTAATTCATTTAGTGACTGTTTGAAATCGCAATGGCACGAAAAAAAAAGAGATGTGGCTGCTTTTCACACTCATAACCACTGCAGCATCTCCACGGTCATGTGATCAAAATGTGAAAGCTTGGCAATTGATTTATATTTACGACTGTTCCAGTGTCATGTCATCATCTTTTGGGACCATCTGACGAGCAAAGTCAGTGGGGAAGCCAGGTTCACTTAACAACAGTGTTACTAATTTAAAATGACACCACTAAGTGAATTGTTGGACCTCTTCTTTTTAACATTTTACTACTTCGTTTTGAATTGGCGGAGTGAATCGTTGTCTTTAAAACCCGAGTTAACACCAGGATTCAACTCCTGATGGACATGTAATGACGAGACACAAACGTAAGTACTCAGTTTACAAGGGAACTCCTTGTCCTTCAGAGTTCCGGTAAAAAAGGGGGGATCATTCAGATTGCTGGACCTTTTATATTATATTAAGAGAAATCTTCCTTTTCCATCTAGTTTCCATTTAACAAGTTAAACTGGAGACTGAGCGACTAAAATATATCTATTTGTACAATGCATGTGGAAGGTATTTTTCAATTCAAAATAGGGGCCAAACAGGAGACCCTCCCTGCAGCATTTCAAACAAGTGGCTGTCCAGTCGCTTCTTAATTTATTCTTATTTCTGGATAATAGCCTCATTTGTCAACTGACTTCCCATATTCTACAAACTTTCATTTGTCATTTCCTTTCCAGCTCATGGCTTGTAACTCCTCCTAGCTGACTTCCAACTTTGAAAAGAAAAATCCGCTTTCTGAAGTTTGAGATTTGTTTTTGTTTTTTTCCTTTCAAGGGGTTTTTCAGCTGTCTCTGCAAAATAGTTTTCGATTCATATCCTCTCTGTGAATTCTGAGGCTGCTCTTTTGCCTTTCAAGGCATTTTTGGGCTGCCCTTATAAAATATGTTTCAACCTCAGAGAGGTCTGCAGTGATATAAGTGGCGTTTCTCAAAGCTCGGCGCGTTTAAGATGGGTGGACTTTTAACTCCTAGAATTCCCCAGCCAGCTGGGAGTTAAAGTCCACCCACCTTAAACTTGCCAAGGTTGAGAAACACTGATTTAATGCTTTTATTCAAGTTTGGTCAATGAGGATATAAAGTAAGCTGAATAAAAGCAATCTGAGTGGCTTATCTGCATATGGATGCTTTATTGGATGTGTACCCTGAAGCTCCGCTCCATGCCAAAATGGGTTTCTGGCCAAAGACCACAGCTGGGTCAAAAATTGCTAGAAAAAGTCCTTAATTTTCTGCAATATGCATTTAGTATTTAATTTTCTGAAATATACATTTGCTACTAAATTGGACCGTTCTGCTGACAAAAGCACAGAAGGCAGCTCAGAACAACAATCAAGGAAAAGAAGAAGAAGTACAATAACGCCAGCGAAGTCAGTTTATTTAAAACCAAGGAGAAATTAAAAGCTGGGGGAAGCAGAGGTCTTCCCCCCACCCCTGCGTCTGCCTGGAGCCTAATCCATCGGCACCCTCTGCACATGCTCAGAAGCACCTTTGTTTTAAAGATTGCCAGAGGCGGCAGGCCTACTTACCGGGCTGCTACAAGGCTCAACGTTCCCTGGGAAAATTGACTAATGGCCATCCACGACCCGAAGCTTGTTTCCTGTTTCACTTTCGAACCAAACAGCAGCACCGGAGCCTTTGTCGACCGACTACGGTGACGCAAAGGCGCATGGGAAATAAAGTCCCTAGGCCCGTTAAGCCAGCTTTCCTTCTCTGTGCCTTCTTGCTTTGAAAACCATAACTCCCGGCATGCCTTCTTCCTCTTTATAGTTCTGGCGAGGAGCTACGCTCAGTCTCGCGATTCAGTGCAAGCAGGGGTTATAAGCATTTGCCCTCGTTGAGAACTACGAATCCCATCAGGCCTCGGGGCCAGGTTCTTTCAATCTCCGGCTATTGAGAGACCCAAGTACTGTATGTAGGCCAGGGATCTTCAAAGTTGGCAACTTTTAAGACTTGTGAAAATAATAATAATAATAATAATAATAATAATAATAATAATAATAATAATAATAATAATAATTATAATAATAATAATAATAATAATAATAATAGAGAGGGAAGATGCGGTGGGGGGATTGCCGACCACCCCCCAAAAACATATTACTTAATAGTTTTCTTCTTCTTTTTAACGAAGTACACCATATTTGTATTGTGTTATATATTTTTTATTTGAAAATAAAATTTGTAAAAAATAATAATCATAATCATAATAATAAACTGCTTCCATCCTGCAATGATATCTGTAATACCATCAAACATCCACATCTGCCTATCCCAGGTCCTTGGTAAGGACTCGATAGGTAGACAAAAATGCCAAATCCAGACTAAACATCTGGCTGACTGTGTGATGATCCATAATTAATAATAATAATAATAATGATGATGATGATGATGATGATAGGAGGGACCTTGGAGGTCATCTAGTCCAACCCCCTGCTCAGGCAGGAAACCCTATACCAGGGGGTAGGCAACCTTGGCTCTTTTATTTATTTATTTATTTATTTATTTATTTATTGATTTATTGATTTATTTATTGATTGATTTATTGATTTATTGATTGATTGATTGATTGATTGATTGAATTTTTACCCCGCCCTTCTCCTTGCGGACTCATGGACTTTATAACTCATGGACTTCAACTCCCAGAATTCCTGAGCCAGCATAGCTCAGCTTGGAAAGGTCTCCCTTTCCTCTCAACATGGCTGGCTCAGGAATTCTGGGAGTTGAATTCCACGAGTCATAAAAGAGCCAAGGTTGCCTACCCCTGCCCTATACAGTACTATTTCAGACAAATGGCTGTCCAGTCTCTTCTTAAAAACTTCCAGGGTTGGAGCATTCACAGCTTCTGGAGGCAGGTTGTTCCACTGATTAATTGTTCTTACTGTCAGGAAGTTTCTCCTTAGTTCTAGGTTGCTTCTCTCCTTGATTAGTTTCCATCTGTTGCTTCTTGTCCTGCCTTCAGGCGCTTTGGAGAATAGCTTGACTCCTTCTTCTTTGGGGCAGCCCCTGAGATATTGGAAGACTGCTATCATGTCCCCCCTCGTCCTTCTCTCCATTAAACTAGACACATCCAATTCCAGCAACCGTTCCTTATAGGTTTTAGCCTCCAGTCCCCTGATCATCTTTGTTGCTTCAACTCCCAGAATTCCTCAGCCAGTCCACAAGTCTTAAAGTTGCCCAAGTTTGAAGACCCCTGAGCTTTACTGTATTCACCAATGTGGTCCACTTAGTTCCTGAATCACAGTAACTCATTTTCTGAGTTACAGGTGGTCCTTGACTTACAACAGTTCATTTAGTGACCATTCCAAGTTACAGCAGCACTAAAAAAGGGACTTATGACCATTTTTTCACACTTATCAACTGTTGTAGCATCCCCATGGTCACATGATCAAAATTCGGACGCTTGGCAAGTAACTCATATCTGTAACGGTTGCAGTGTCCAGGGGTCATGCGATGACCTTTTGTGACCTTGACAAGCAAAGTCAATGGGGAATTCAGATTCACTTCACAGCCGTGTTGCTAACTTAACAACTGCAGTGATTCACTTCACAAGTTATAAAATGATGAAAATAATAAAAATATAAGGGGTAAAATATATAAGTTGTAAATACTGTGCGCTGAAAGTACACTACGCTGAACAGTAGTAATGTAGTAAAATGAACAATAACTAGAATAATGATTTGTCTGCATAATTGCTAGAATAATGATGTAATGCATAATCACTGGGAAAATTCACTGGGAAAGTTCTGTGTCAGTAATATGTGGCTAACCAAATGCGCATTGCACATGGATACTTTGTATGTAGCAAAACCTTCCATTGTATGCCCGTGAGAAACGATCCAAATGTATTACAGTGTATTAC